TCAAATCACAGTTATACCTTGGCCATTGTTAGAAGGCTATTTTTATCCCTGCTGTAATCATCTAATTTGCTGATTACGGGTCTCAGATTGCCACAGAGAACTCAATTTTTGAAAGAATTGTCCTGTTTGATCAAATATGTTATTCAAGCAATGCAGTCATTTGTTCCACAAGGTTACCTGCCAGGCAGAGCTAACCAGGAGTAATAGCATTAGAAGCCTATACTTAAAATCAAGCATTAGCTAGTCTGCCTGTGACAATAGAGTCTTAAATATAATTTGTGGCAGATTCTTTAGTTCTTGCACTGACAGACAATTGCATTTTGTATTCAATGAGCATAGATTTTTCCTACCTCATCCCAATTCCAAATTTAACTCAGAAGACTCTAATGTGCTCAGCTTCACAGGCTAACAGGTACTATTTCCCAGGAGCCTCAGACAGGAGGGCGATGCTCTCCTTTATTCAATAAACACTCCCTCTGCCCCCCTTTTAAATCATTTTACTGATCAACGCCAATTCCAAAAATCGTGTAGCATCTGACTGCGGTGAGGTTCATGTCTGATGCTGGTGTCCCTGGCATGATGTGTGAGCTGGCCTCTCCTGGGAGCCCCTGCTGTGTGTTGGGCGCTACCAGCCCTGGAGACAAAAGCATGCAGGGCACAGACCACCGAGAGCTCATGAGAGCCTGGGAGACAGAAGAACAGCTGGAATCCTCCAGAGGGCAGCGGTGTGAAAGGTGAGCATGGAGTGGGAGCCGTACCTGTGCTTGAGAGGGAGCCTGTTGAGTCCTCCCCAGCAGGCCTGGAAAAGTGGAGTGGAAGGAGGGAGGCGAGGCAGAAGAGGTGACAAAGCCTACATCACAAAGGGCTTTTGCACGTCAAGCTCAAGACGGGCCTGATATCCCTGGCAGCAGAGCTGGGGTATAAGAGGAGAGTGAGAGCTCAAAGCGACATGTGGACACAGAGGTTGAGGAAACAAGCCCAGAGTCATGCTTCTGTGCCACAGAAAAGTGACCGTGCAGGCCGCGAGGGGCACGAAGGAAGATGAAGGGGCATCAATGAAAGTAACTTCCAAATGGCCCTGCTTGAGGGACTGCCATGCATCACTCCCAGGCCACAGTGATCCCGGGCCCTGCACCTCTGCATCCTCAGCCAGCTGGAACCTCACCTCTGCAGGAGATGGACCCTGTCTGGGGCCCACACTGATGTCATTTCTTCGTTGAGCTCTGGAGGCAGTTACCTGGAGCTGGGACCTGGCCCTGCCACTTCACAATGTGATTTTGGGCACCATGCTTAACTTCTCCAAGCCTAGTAATTCTCAGCTGTGAAATGGGGATGATAACAGTATTTGCCCCATGAAGTTAAGAGGGAGATTCAATGGGAGAATGCATAAAAAATGCTTAGCATAGCACCTAGCACATTAAAAAGAAGCAATAAAAGATGGTTGCCGCTGCTATTATTGCCGCTGATGCTGCTGGTGATACCAAGGTAGGCTGTCAGACTGAGGCTCTGGAGGGGAGTAGCCCTGCAATGGGGACTCCAAGAACACGTGGCACTTGCTCTGAGGTGCCCTTAGCCTCCCTAGGCTCCTCCCCCGATGTCTGCCCCTGGCCCTCCCCAGACTTCAGCTCCATCTCTCTCCTGCCCTTCCTGGACAGCCTCCTTGAAAGTACCATGTCCACCTGCTGTCCCTCCCCCCTCAGGCTCCTCCAGTGGGGCTTCTGTCCCCACGCACCACACACTACCCTTGCCGAGGCCACCCATGATGGCCATGTGGCACCCTTTAACCTTCATCTCACGGGGCATCTTTGCCACAGTTAGCACTGCTGACCCCACCTTCCCTCCAGAAAACTTTTGCCCTCCCTGACTTCTCACACAGACACACTCGATGCCCCCTGGTAACCCTCCCTAATCCCATAGTTTTTCTCTCCTCCTCAGAGCAAACCACCACCCTGAGGTCGGTATGGATGATTTCCACACATATTTTGGGAATTTTATCATTTATAGTTGGATTCACAGCAATAGATTTACAGAAAACATTGCTTTGGGTGTTTTTAAAATTCACATAAATGGAATCAAGCCTCACAACATCATAATACCACTTGCTATTTTTTTCAACATTAGTTTCAAGATTTACCCACATTGACACATGTAGGGTTGGGTTTATTCATTTTTAAATGTGATAGAGTTTTCTCTTGAGCGAATATACCATAATGTATACATTCTCTCCCATGCTGATCCACATATAGGTTTCCAATTTTTTCACCATCATAGACAGTGCTATAGTCAACATCTTGTGCACACGTGTGTCACGTGTGTTAATTCCTTAGGGCACATTCCTAGATGTGGTATTGCCATGTCAAAGGGCATGTGCTTTTGTAATTTTGCTAGATGTGGTCAGTTACTCCCCCAAATTGTGCCAATTTATATTCCCAGGTGGCGAGTGTGAGAGTTCCTGTCTTCCCACATCTGCACTTGGTAATGCTATCTTTTCTTCTCAGTAAAATTGCTATTATTTAACTTTATTGGTTTTTCTATGATTACAAAAGTGGAGCATGTTTGTTATAATAAGTTAGAATAGTACAAACACGTATAACATAAAAAGTGAAAATCCCAGAATGTTTTCTGTTCATACACTAGCATATAAATAAATGAAAACGTTTGCTGTTTTTCTACAGGGTTGTTTCATTCAACTGTATCATCTCTAAGTAGTTTAAAATGCACATACACATACAAACTTGCTCCTTTTTTATTTTTCAGTGGTGGCCTGCCAATTGATTTCATTACTTAGCACATAATTTCAGGGCCTGGCACATTAAACATTTTCTCCATGTGTAGATGGATTGATCCTTACATGTATAATCACTTTCATTAAGTTTCTTCTTTTCCATGCCCAGAAGAACATAGGCTATCTTCTTTCTTTCTTTTCTTTTCTTTCTTTCTTTCTTTCTTTCATTTATTTATTTATATTTGGCTGCGTTGTGTCTTCTTTGCTGTGTGTGGGCTTTCTCCAGTTGTGTCGAGTGGGAGCTACTCTTTGTTGCGGTGCGCAGGCTTCTCACTGCAGTGGCTTCTCTTATTGAGGAGCACAGGCTCTAGGTGCACGGGCTTCAGTAATTGTGGCACGCGAGCTCAGTAGTCGTGGCGCACAGGCTTAGTTGCTCCGTGGCATGTGCGATCTTCCCGGACCAGGGCTCGAACCCGTGTCTCCTGCGTTGGCAGGCGGATTCTTAACCACTGCACCACCAGGGAAGTCCCCATAGGCTACCTTCTACTTGCAAAAGACCAACATTAAGATTGAAAACCAAGATATTAATAGGAAAGAGTCTTTGGGAGCGTTGCAAGGGTGGGATGATATACAAGCAAGCGCCCAGGCACCAATGCATCATCAGAGAGCTAGACAGACCCATCCATTCCCCAGGACTGTGATGAACCAGCCTAGCAGTGCCTTTCTTAATAGAAAAAATAAAAAGTTAATATATTCCAGCAGTCACAGCCTGAATCATCCAGAAAGTTCTCTGTGTCTCTCTTGCTAAGCACCTAACCAAGTTATCTCTTGTTAGAGACAAGCAGCGAACACTCAATCTGTGTGAGGTAAAGACTTGGTCAGAAGCGATTCCCCTGGAGTTCTGTGTCCTCCATCCTTCCCCAACCGAAGCTGTGAGGGTCCCTGCAGCAGACAGGACGGAGGTTAGAGGCTGAACCTCAGGGCTGTAGGTCCTGTGCTGGCATGGGGGCTTTATTGTGTTTGGGCTGCAAATGGGGTTTTAAAACATTTGAGTCAACGTTTGAAACTTGGGAAAGCTCACATACAGATATGGCTCCCCAGCTCTGGGCAGCACGGTCAGTCTGCAGAGAACCAGAATCCCCACCATTCCCTGCTGCCTTGCAGGGCCCACTGCTGTTGATCTTCACTTGGTGACCTGTGACTCCATCAAAAGCAAAAAACAGTATAGCTCAAGAAAGTGGAACGTCTCAAGAAAAGTGGCAGAGAGAGCATATTTCTCCCTGGAAGCGCAGAATATTTGAACATGTTTAATATTCAGGACAAAGTGTCTTGGTGTCCAAAGGCATGTTCTTTACCTGCCTGGCTCCCACAGGCAGCTGAGTTTCAGACTCCTGGATGTATGGGAGAGTCTCAGCTGGCTCTCACCCCAAGGCCTGTGGGGCTTTCAGCTCATCACTTGCCTGCTCCGGGCCTCCGGTTCCTTACCCACCCAGAAGGCGGTGTGGCCACAAGCACGTGCCTCTCAGGGGTTGAGTTGCTTTCTGTTTCTGTTCAGACTCTAGTCTTCCAGGTGGTGATAAGACATGAGTTTGGGGTGTTTCAGGTTTGCAGTCATACTTTAGGGACCCCCCCCCACATCCTGTCATGCAAAGGAGTTTCATTTCTCTAGATGTCAGGAGGGCAACAGTGTGCAGGGCAGACGTCAGCCTGGCAAGCAGGTAGCTGGAAGCCTGTCAGGGGCTGAGAGTTGCCTCACCTCTCCCTGGGCCTCCAGGCCTCCCGGTGACTCTCAGCGTGACCTTTGACCCCCAGCTAGGGCATGTCAAGGCCAGAGGTGGGGCAGGTGTGATTCCAGGGCTGCTGTCAGAAAACAGACCCCCAACCAAAGGCTGGTGCCTGAAAAGTTACTGGCTCTGCCAGGTAGCTTGAACATGGCCTTGAGTGGGAGGGACCTTAGGCCTCCCTCAGAAACCTCAGCCTTGGGGTGGGCTTTGTTCTTTCTTGAATGGAACTCTGCTCTATGCAACTGGAAAATGCTCTAAATCTGCCTCTGTAATGGGGGAAACTGAGGCATGAGAAGACAAATTATAACTGAAAAAGATGAGTTTCCAGATCCCAGGGGTGATTTTCTACACAGTTCATTTTAGCAATGTCCAGGGCAGTGGAAAGAGATGGCTCGTCTGTGGATGAGATAGATGCAGAAGCCAATAAAGTATTCAAAGGAAGCACAAAAGGCAGTCTGGGTGGGTTTTATTAATTATATTTCTTTCATCCTCACAACAGTGGTACGTCAGTATTCTACGCTGAATGTGCCCGATTGACACTAATGATTTCATCCTTTTGTTTCTGTTAAGAAAAGAAAAAAAGCTCTGTCTGCCCAGCTACTCAGGCCCAGCGTGAGCCTGAGACCAGCAAGGCCTTAGAAGCCCTCATCTGGGCCTCTCTCCCTGTCATTTGTGTACCCTGGCTCTCCCTGGCAATGCCAACAGCAGTCCCACCCGGCAATGGCCAGGCCTTGCTCCCACCCTCCTCCATTCTGCTTTGCCATAACCCTACATACAGGTACTCTGACACGGGTAATGAGTCCTCTGGGTGGAGAGACAGGCAGGGTGTGTGTGTGTGTGTGTGTGTGTGTGTGTGTGTGTGTGTGTGTGTGTAGCAGTATCTCTGAGCCAAGGACCCCTCTGGGGGTCCTCAAATCACATTCCTCACTTAAGCGTTCTTTTTGAAGAAAGGAAAAATAAAAAGGAGGTTATGGATTGCTTTCCTCCCACACTCCCTGTATCTTATTACTAATTTTGTTATTTAGCATAAGTTAGAAAGGGTATGTGTGCTTGGGGCACGGCAGTGACTGAAAGTGTCATGAATCATTTATTTGCCCACCTCTGTTGTCATCCTTTCACCTCGGAAACCGGGAGGAGTTGTGAGCAATGGCCTCGAAGCGTTTCCAGTCTTCAGGGTAATAAACCTCAGTGTCCTTCTCTCCTTCTCCTTCCTGTGCTGCCCCGTAATGGGCTGCTGCGCATCTGACCCAGGAAAGAGGCCCAAGGAAAGCGTGCAGGCGATAAACAATGTCTCCTGTTACAAATGAATGAGACAAATGTGTACACCTGACACCTCTGCCACTGTCTGAACGTAAACTTCATTAGCCCGGATGCGTGGGGTGGTGCACGGACTGTGGGCAGCTGTTAGTTAAAGCGAGATCCCCGTACCAGACCCTCACCTGGAATACCCCCAAAGGGCTTTCATAATGGGGTTTGGATGACTCTCCTGCCCTCACTTCACATTGGCATGCGCCCCCCCATCCCCACTGCAGGTAGCCCTGGTTTGTGGGAATATCCTAGAAGGGGTCCCAATGTGGCCATATCCACCTGTACCTTGGACAAGGCAGTTGTGGAATTTCCACGCTGGGGGCTTGAGGGTGACCTGCAGCTGAAGGTGGGGGCATTGGCATATCCTGAGGACGGGTCTGCAACTGCATGTTTGGTGAGGTAGTTTGAGAGGAACTGATAGTGACAATGGAGGGGCCAGAGCTGCTCCCGCTCCCACGCTCCAGCACTGCCAACCTCCTCCCCGCACCTGACTTTCTACCCTCCAGGACCCCTCCTCCCAGGCAGTGGGGGCCAATTCTCACAGCTGGTGACCCAGGCCCCTCCTGGCACCCTCAGTGGAGCCCACGCTGAGAAGACCATTGCTGAGGGCTTGCTGATGCTCTGCTGGAGGGCCCCATGTGCTCACTCAGCCCGAGCAGCTGCTGGACTCTGGCACACTCTGATGCTATACAAATATCAGCACTGCCGCCCCAGCTCCTGGAGAAAGTCTCCGCCTGACAGCCTGCAAAGAAATCCTACTTTTGAATTTCATCTACAAATCGTGGTTTCCTCCAGACAAGCTCAAACCTGCACAGATGGCCCCTCACACCAAAAAGTAAAAATAACAAAGCTTGTAATTCTGGGCCTCCCTTTTTCTCTGGGAAGATGTGCTGCTGCACGTTTCAGGAGGCATGCAGCCTGTGTGCGGCAGCAAGCCCTCCCCTCCTGGACACTCTCACTCGTCCCTTCTGGCGCGCTGGTGGGGAGCAGTCATGGCCCCTCGGGGTGTGCTCTTGGAAGTGTTTCTGGGGTGTCCGAGCCTTTGGGGTGGGGCAGGGAGGTCCAAGGCAGGGAGTTAGAGTGAAAATTCATCCCTCACCCAACTACCCAAGACTGGCCATATTGCCATCCACGAGACAGTGTGGGGAAATGGTGGAGGGTTTGACATAAGGCCTCAGGTAAGGTAGTCAGTAACAGTGGGGGCAAGAGGCTGCCATGCATGCCGAAGGCAGGCGGCATGGTGGGAGACAGGAAGCTCTGGGGCTCCTGATTTACTGAAACCCCCACCTCCACACCCCAGCAGGCCACAGGAGCTTCGATGACCCATTAATTCTTTCCACCAATGTTTGCTGAGAGCATCTATGCTAGGCCCTGAGGATAGAGTTATAGACAAGACAGACCCAGAGGGCACAAGCCCAGAGAACACACAGTCAAGGTAATCTGTGGGCTGGGTGGCCATAGACCCACTAGTCAGGAAGGCCAGAGCAGGAGGCCAGAAGAGAGACAGAGGAGGTAGGAGCCCCTGCCAGAGACTATGAGAGACACTTGTAGACTGGGTCCAGTGTGACCCAGCACCCCAAAGGCTCACACTTCTTTCTCATTCAGAAATGGTGGCTGCGGTCTTGGCTCCACCAGAGGATCATATGACAGAAAGATATTCAGTGGCAAGTGAAACACAATTCAAACTGCCAGGAGAAAAAAGAAATTCTTGGATACAGGCGTCTGGACAGCCCAGGGACGTACCTAGCCTCAGGCACGGCTGGATCTGGGTGTTTGCATGCTGTCCTCAAGAATCTATCTCCCTTGCTCAGCTCAGCTTTGTTCTTTGCCGACCTCATCCTCCATGTGGCATCTGCTGGTATCTCCAAGCTGATATTCCTACCAGTAAGCCCCTCCTCAATCCCTAGCCAAGGTCCTGGGGGTGATTCTCATTGGTCCAGTGTGGGTCACATGTCTGCCTTCTCTAATCACTGGAGGAGGATGCACTGCCAGGAGGATGCAGTGCTCTGACTAGCTAGGCAGGAGCCCTCCGGGTTGGAATCAGTCCCATCTGAACTACCTGGTTTCACAGAAAGGGTGAAGGGATGCTGGTCTGGAGAAAGCAGCAAATACAGAAACAAACAACAATGAAACCCTCCCAAAAGATGGTTGACAGCAAAGATGTGAGCATGCTCTGAGACAGCTGCAAAAATCCTGCTTCCAACAGGTTCTTCTTACTGCAGGTGTGTGGCCACTGTCATTCATCCCTTCAGCATCCCTGACTCCACAGTGCTGGCATCTGTGCCAGGCCCGGGATGCAGGGAAGGTTCTGGACACCCCGGTAGGGAAGCCTGCCCCAACACCTGGCCTCAGGGGTAGGAGCAGCCCAACACTGAAGTCTGCTTCACCCTCAAACCCTGCAATTTTCCTCTCTGGCGTCTGCTAGGTTTTCTTGTGTTTTGCTTCCATCTTCCTTTTCCTTAGACCAGCTCGTGAGATCTCCCATCTGGCCTGGAGGAAAAAAGACAGAGATCAGGAGGGTCCTCGCTAGCCAAAGCCCCAGGCCTAGGCCTCTCACGCACAAAGCCTCTATTTGTCACCCAGAAGACCACTGTGCATAGATTTGCTCTCCTTATTAGAATAAGCGTCTGAGTCCAACATCCCACTGCAGTTCAGGGAGGCTCTGTCAGAACAGGTACGGCCAAACGTGTGGCCCTTGGTCCAAGGATGGGGGTTGGGCAAAGCAAGTGGCATTATCAGAAAAAGACATGCTGAGACTGGCTAGTAGGTAAGTAAGCTGGGAGGAGGCAAATAGAAGGGTTCAGCTTCTGGGCCACCACACAGCCTTGAGTCATTGTCCCCACATGTCTCAGGGAATGCACCTGGGCAAGTCGTTGTTTGACGGTGCATTCACAGTAACTTCCTTAAAACAGATCTTTAGGGAAGAACTGGCTTCAGGGATTGATTGGGCTCGGATTCAAACAGCAGGAAAGCAAAGTTCTCAGTCTTGGCCTGAGGGCTCCCAGCAGTGTGCACGGCACTGTTGTAAAGGCTCTGGTTTAGTCATTTAGTTCTCCCACAACCCCATTTCAGAGAAGAGCAAACAGATACAGGGAGATTCAGCAACTTGCCCAAGGTCATGGGGGGGGGAGGGGGAGGGGGGGGTCAGGGGCTGGTTTCGGGGTCAACGGCTGGTTTCAGGGTCCGTGGCTGCACTGCATGAGAAGCCCGGGCCTGGTTAAGGGTTGGGGCCCAGGTATCTGCTCTCGGGGACTGCGAGGACTGCGGGCCCTGTGGCGGCCCCGGCCGCATGTGCCTCGGAAGAGCGCTCGTTAGCCCCCTAGAGCCGGGCAGCCTAGCTTCTGTGCCCGGGACACGCTCTGCTAGGAATCCTGTGCACTCTGCTCGCCCCTCCCTGGCACCCCGGCCCCAGGCGGCCGCCGACTCCGAGTGCTGCGCTTCCAGGTCACGCTGCGCCGACGGAGGAGCAGGAAGAGAGGTGAAGGAAGCCGAGGAGGAAGAGGAGGAGAGAGGACGGAGGAATGCCTGAGTGGAAGTCGGCTCCGGGTAGGAGCGCTGAGTGCTCTGCGCGCCGCTGCAGGGGGTGGTGACGACCCCCGGCTCCAGGAAGAGACGGGTGGGCCGGGAGGCGGGCCAGAGGTCCCGACCAGGTCCATCCCCCGACCCCGACACCCTGGCGGAAGCTATCATGACGACGTGCTGCGCGCCGCCTCTTGATCGTCCTCTGGAGGCGGGCACCACTACTACCTCATTGTACAAACTGGGAATCTTAGGCTTCGCTGAGTGTCCCAGGCCAGGCCCAGCCCCAAGGGGCGGGAGCAGGACGCCAGGAGCAGGAGCCCGACCCCTACACAAAAGAGCCAGGCTGCCTGCGTCGGGACTCTGGCCACACGTCTTTGGAAGAGTTTCTTAGCCTCTGACGGCTCCGCTTTCCCCATCTGTGAAATAGGATGGCGCCCACCTCACCGAGTTATCAAAGGTTTATTACGTCCCTTAGGCCAGAGCCTGACACTGCCAAGCCGACTCAATGTTGGCCATTGCTAGCAGGGTTTTAGCTAAATGGGAGGAACTGAGCATCAGTGGGGCGCACGCAGGACTGGCCCTGGCCGCTGCCTCCCAGCCCGCAGGCCGCGCGCTGCCGCAGCCGACGAGTCTCCCTCTGCGAACAGCTAGCTAACACCGCCTTCACGGATCAGGCTGCTCTCCACGTGCGGCGTGTTTACCCACGTGATTATGACACGCCCACCGTTCCAGGGCCCCGCCCCCGCCCCGCCCCGCCCCGCCTCGCCTCTCCTCGCCTCGCCGCTCTGCGGCTATTGGCTCTCGGCTGAAAGCTGTCGGCTGCGGCTGCTCGGCGCTGGCTGAGCAGGTCGTTCACTCCTTAGGCAGGCTAGGCTCGGGCACTGCGCTGGATCCGCGCCTCAACGTGGCGAGCAAGGGGTCTGGTCCAACGCAGAGACTCTGCCGGGTGCGCCCGCGGAAGGGGCGGGGCCGGAGCGGCTGGGGGCGGGTCCATGGGCGGGGGTCCTTCAGAGCGCACCCAGCGGAAGGGGCGGGCCCGGGGCGGGATTGTGGGCGGGGCCCTTCCTGCGCAGGCGCTCCGCAAGGTCGGGCCCGGGGCGTGGCCGTCCCGGGGGCGTGGCGGGCGTTTTCGGTGCTGTGCAGCCACAGTGTGCCGGAACTGCTGGGGGCCCTTGTGTGTTCGCGGATTGCTAGACCCTGCTACCGAGAGACAGAACCTGATGAAGCTCGGTCATTCGCGGAAGGGCACATTCAGTCCCGCATTCCTCTACAATTTCAGCAGAGCCACTCCCTCTTCCCTGGTTTTGTCCCCTTGACTTTCTCAGCCGCCCTTCCTGCTGTCTCCTCGGCGTCCTCTGCCCCTCCAGTGCTGATGTTGCACAGGGCTCTGGCCTCAGAACCCTTGGCTTCTAGGCTGACCCTGGGAGATCTGGTCCGCTCTCTGGTATTAACTCCCATCTCTGTGCGCATAATCCTGATAGTTCTACCAGTAGCTAACACATATGTGCTAGGGCACTTTTCTACGCGCTTTGTGAACATTCACTAATACCACTTGGACACATTACACCTAAATCTTTGTCTCCCAGTCCAGACTACTGCCCTCAGCTCCATATCTTTCCATCCAGGTGCCCGCTGGACCCCTCACTAGATGTTCCACAGGCCCCTCTGAGCAAGCACATCTGAAGTGGAACCCACCTTGCCCCAAATCTGTTTCTCCCCAGATCTCCCCCTCGGTGAATAACATCACCATTACCCCAGCCACCAAACAGGGCTTGAGTTCGGTTTTTCCTTTTTTCTTTTACTTAGATTTCACCTATAAGGGATCTCATACAGTATTTGTCATTCTCTGTCTGACATCTCACTTAGCCTAATGTCCTTAAGGTCCATCCATTCTGTCAAATATTATTGTGAAATCATCCTCAACATAGAAAACTAGAGAATGAACAGGCTAATTAACCTAATAAAAGAATTGAACAAAGGCAACTTTATAAGATCAGAATATAAAGTCAATAATGGGAACCTTGACAATAATAATACGTTTCTTGAAAAAGTAATAAAAATAAGACAACTTGCATGATACTGAAGTATAGGAATTCACCTAACAAAAAATGTGCAATATCTGTAGGGGGCTAACTCTAAAATTCAAATATATCGATTTTTTAAAGGGACTTGAATACACAGATAAATAATGGGATAACATCTTAACCTTGAAAGAATGTAAACCCCCCCACCAAGTGATCTATATATTCAATACAATTCCAGTAAAAAATTCCAACCTGATTGTATTGGAACTTGGGAAACTGATTCTACAATGTTTATGGAAGAATTAAGGTCCATGATACGCTAAAACAATTTTGAAAAAGAAGAACAAAGGGAAGGTCTTGCTCTATAGGCATTAAAACAGATTACAAGACCATAGTAATTAAAATATTGGGATATTGGTACAGAAACAAATAAATGAATCGAATAGTTTGGAAAGCCCAGAATAAATTCATTTATAAAAGTTGGTATGTGATAGAGAAAAAATTACAAATGATTAGAGAAAGTCTAGATTATTTAGTAAATGGCTCTGGGAATATTGATTTTTCTATAATGGAGAAAAAAATAAAATTGGATCCCTACCTCAGACCTTATACGTAAACTCTAAATCGATTAAATAATTATTAAAGGTGAGAATATAATGCTAATAAACTAGAACATAGGATAAAATCTCTGTGATAAGAAAGGATTTATCATTACCTCAGAAGCTTAATCCATGAGGAGGAAAATGATGGATTCGATGACACCAAATGGAAACAACATGGAAAATGTTGCTCTACTATAGATAAAATCAACATACAGGTGACAAGCTAGGAGAAGGTATTCTTCATGCCTTAAACCAACATATCTATATTCTAGGCTATAACTAGAATAATTAAGGAACTCCTGAAAATCAGTCCAAAAAAATAAAAATAAAGGAAACCTAATTTTAAAAAAATGGGCAAAAGATATGTATAGGCTGTTCCCAGGAGAAATCAGAATGGCTAAGGTATACAAAAGAGGAGAGGTATCCTCACTGGTGATCAGAGAAACGCAAAGTAAAGGAATGAGGTGCCACATTACCCCAGCCAACTGACACGACTCAGCGGGTCAGATGGTATGAAGTGCTGCCATGGAGGGATGGGAGAGCGTGTGACAGGTGCAGTGAAATTAAATATGCATGAACATTTGCAGAGCTCAGACTAGGGTGACGGAAGTGAGGCCCTCACTGCCAGGGCAGACCTCCACTCACGTGGAGGTCCATATGCGCTCTGGGTGCCTCACTGCCTCCCTCTGGTCCTGGCCTTGTACCTGGGGACTCAACAGTTCCACTCTTGCATACGTACCTAGAGAAACTTCCTCAGAGGCTCACAGGCAAAGGCATTCCAGTTCGTTTATGACAGCAGCTATGTACGTATCTCCCGCAAGGGAACTGGACAAGTAATATTTGGTATGTGAAGATAATGACAGGGTCTTTCGTGGTGAACAAGGATTGCCCAGCTCTTGGCCTCTGGGGAGGAGGGTGGAAACCTGGTGAATAAAACTGAGAGCAAGGCAAAAGGACTTCCATCCCCATTTTGTCTGGGAGGGTTTGTAGGTTTCTGAGCCTTTGTCACTGATCCTCCTGCCCCCTCCACCAAGAGGTGCACTTGGACTTGGCAGGGAAGAGAGAAAGTTGGAAGGTGCCCTGAGGTTACCTGTGAAGGATTAGGCATATTTTCACTGTCACATAAAGAAACAGAGGCCAGAAGTTTCAAGATCTGGCTCCTGTGTCAAGGCAGAAAGGATTTAGAGAGTAAAGCTTGGACTCTGGAGTTTACACACATAGGGTCTAATCCCTTTTTAACTTCCTATAGATGTGAATTTGGTCAGGAAACCCAGAACAGTGAACTTCAGTTTTCTTTGCAGTGAGATGGGAGTAAAAATAAGGCTTAACACAGAGAGTTAACATGAGGAGTCAAAGGAGAGAAGATATCTGAAACCAGTTCTCTCCTTCCCTGTCTGTTTCTCAAACAGCATGGACAAGTAAGGATTCTTTAGGAATTTTTGCACACTTTTCTAATCTTCAGATAGCAGTCTGGAGGTCTTTCAGGAGAAGCTCGGGGCCAGGGAATGCAGCTTAGTGGGTGGCAAATGGAATCATCCATCAGATTCAGATATTTCCATCCCAACCTTTCCAGACTTCAGGCTGTAGGTTAGAACCAACACTGTTTTGGATATTGCTCAGCTCTGGAAGCTTCGGAACAGCCCCCTGTGGGAGGTGGTCTCCTTACCCCAGTCCACAACTCTGACAACTCTCATTTCAAAGAGAGAGAACTGCGCTTTCTTTATTCAATGTTAAATTATTTTGTATTTAAATGAGAGATAGAGCCACACTGAAAAATAATAATATCAATGAAAACTGTAATAATCAACACCACCCTATCCCAACTGTTGTTAGCATCTGTGGTGTAGGTC